AGAGAGAGAGAGAGAGAGAGAGAGAGAGAGAGAGAGAGAGAGAGAGAGAGAGAGAGAGCTTCTAAACATAACTGATGATGACGTGGCAACTTGGTGATTGGCTGATAAGCCAAGTTTCCTGGTTACATTTTTTTTTCCTGGTAATACTTGTAAGGGCATACTCCGAATAGCGCTTTTTGGACTGCACCTGGCTGAGATGGAGGTCCGATACATCCTTGAAAACGCGTAGTGTGAGTATGCTCTAAGGATGTGATCTGCTGGTTCAGAATTTGTTTGTGTTTGGTCTGTTTATTGTGTCTGTTTTTCTTTTTTATTTTTCTCTGGCTTGGTTTGGTCTGGTTGGTTTAATCCGGTTTGGTTTGGTTTGTTTTGTTTTGGTCTGGTTTGATCTGGTTTGATCTGGTTTGGCTTGGTTTGGTTCTGTTTGGTTTGATCTGGTTTGGTCTGGTTTTATCTGATTTGGCTTTGTTTTGTTTAGTTTGGTCTGGTTTGATCTGATTTCGCTTGGTTTGATTTTGTCTGGTCTGGTTTTATCTGGTTTGGCTTTGTTTAGTTTGGTCTGGTTTGATCTGGTTTGGCTTGGTTTGATCTGGCTTGGTCTGGTTTGATCTGGTTTGGCTTTGTTTANCTGGTTTGGCTTGGCTTGATTTTGTCTGGTCTGGTTGGATCTGGTTTGGCTTTGTTTAGTTTGGTCTGGTTTGATCTGGTTTGGCTTGGTTTGATTTTGTCTGGTCTGGTTGGATCTGGTTTGGCTTGGCTAGGGTTTGGTTTGATCTGGTTTGGTCAGGTTTGAACTGGAAGGCACAAAACCAAGTCTCCTGGGTAGGAATTACAAAACACCAAATTTGATAACTGCAGAAAGGGGGGGGGGAAAAACAAAGAAAAAGGGCGAAGCTTAGGCAAATTTGCATATGTGTTTTCAAAGCTTCTTCGGTCCAGCTATTAAAGCATATTTATGTGATGCAAATTTGCCTAAATTTCATCCAAGCACTTGGTGGACAAACACATTTATGTGAAGCGAAAGTAGCGGCTGCTTGAGCATTTGACAAACTAACACCATCCATCCATCAGATTCCATCTCAAAGAGCTTCTGCTCTTCAAACGACAAAAAAACGGGCAACCGGCCAACCCTATGGAAGACTTGATCAGATTCAATGCATCCAGGTTTCAAAAGACTCTTTTCTATGCAAGATATGCGATGGAGTAGTAGCACATTGGATAGAGGAGGGCGGAAGGAAAGGGCCGATCAATGTGGCCGTCTTTCGATAGCGACCGACCTTATAAGAGGCGGGCGACCAGCCGTACTTTGTTGTGGTTTCCTGCCGATCGAACATTTCTTATACAATTTTTCACTGGACCAGGTTCAGAGCAAGCACTTCAAATTTTCACTGGACCAGGTTCAGAGCAAGCACTTAAAAACCTGGTCCAGTGAAAATTTTAAGTGATCTCTGAAGAAAAAGGTGGAGGTTTGGTCACTGGACCAGGTTCAGAGCAAGCACTTAAAAACGTGGTCCAGTGAAAATTTTAAGTGCTTGCTCTGAAGAAAAACGTGGAGGTTTGGTCTGGTTTGATCTGGAAAAACGTGGCCGTGTACGAATAAGCTTGTATAGTAGTTGTTCCAGCAGATGGCAACGTTCTTCTTTAGAGATCACTCTCGAAGGAGGTGGCCATCCCGACCAAAGAACCAAAACAGATGTTGAACTATAACAGGATCTCCTCCTCCTGCAGGATAAAAAAAGGGGGTGTTAAAATTTCTATCTGGTCTGTTTTGATCGGGCTATGTCTGGTTTGGCCGGGTATTGGGTCTGGTTTGATCTGGTTCTGTATCTGGTCTGGTTTGATCTGGTTCTGTATCTGGTCTGGTTTGATCTGGTTAGGTTTAATCTCGTTGTGACTTTTATCGGGTTTGATTTCCGTTATGTCTGTTGACCTTGGTTTTTTCCGCTTGGTTTGGTCTTAGCCTGGTTCGATCTGCTCAGGTCTGGTCTGGTCTGGTTTGATCTGGTCTGGTCTGGTCTGGTCTGGTCTGTTCTGGGCTGGTCTGGGCTGGTCTGGGCTGGTCTGGGCTGGTCTGGTCTGATCTGGGCTGGTCTGGTCTGGTTTGATCTTGTCTGGTCTGGTCTGGTCTGGTCTGGTCTGGTCTGGTCTGGTCTGGTCTGGTCTGGTCTGGTCTGGTCTTTGACCTACCCCTTAGTTTGGCCAAAAGGGTGTTGAATGGCGAGAGTGGGCGCTTCACTGCGTAGGTAGAACATGGGTGTTTGATTTCTCTCTTCACTATTATATATTTTTATTAAAAATATATTTCTCTCTTGTATATCCTGTGAGTTATTGTTTTGGATGAAGAAAACGGCCCGTTTCAGTCCATACCCTGCTGTATTTTTTTTTTTCCCGACTGAATCTGGTGGTCGTCATGGGGACTATATCTATCCAGGAAAAAGCTTTGTTGAGTATCTTCTCTCGGAGGTATAAGGGAGGGGGGGGGGGAGAATTACGTTTGTACTACCCCGTAGACTCTGCACACCATTTACTGATGGGAGTTCCCTCTCTATACCCACTCCCAGCGCCCAACTTGCATTTTTACCCCTACCCTGTCCCATTTAGCGTAGCACCCCACTTTCGACTCTTCCCCTGCTACGAATTACGCTTGACGTGGCATATATTAATGTGAATGACGTGATATTATTCAGTAATATATATCTAACATACAATATTTGCTGTGGCATCTTGGAGTTGCGGCAAGCTGACATGGCGTATTTGAGAAGAAGCATATTGACGTGGGGGCGTTGCCCGGGGGGGGGGCGAGGGGGGTGTTGATGTGGGGTGTGGGCGGGGGGGAGGGGGGTGTTGACGTGGGATGTTGATGTCAACGCCTGGACAAAAGTGCAGTTGAATGAAAATTTACCTTCAGACAGAGAGTTTTTAAAAAATTTCAGAAATTTCTAAGAAATTGTCTCTGCAGAGGCTTTCCTGAATTTTCAAAAACTTCAGGAAAACACACAAAATTTGACACACAGCAAAACCTTGAACGAAAACGAAAACGAAAACAGGCGAAACAAACAAAAACAAACAAACAGAAAATCAAAAACGTTTTGTCCAACAAATCATCCTTTGTGTGTTTTACATGGTTAACCCTATTAACCACACTGGTCGTTCAACTGCAAGGGGTGTTGCTGACGTGGTGCGTATATTTCGAGAGCTGACGTGGCCTGTCGACGTGAGTGGCTGACGTGCGGTGTTGTTGTGTGGTCTATCTGTGTGTGCTTCTCAGCAGCAGCAGCAGTGACAAGGCATATTGATTAGAATTGGTGCATTATTTTTTAGGCGGGAAGTATGAAGGGAAGGGGAGGAAGGGAACTCGAAGACGATTACATGATGGCAATCAGAAACGTGATGGGACGTGAATTGGCACCCATAAATGTGATGTGACGTGACGTGGCATCCATGAACGTGATGTGATGTGACGTGGCACCCATGAACGTGACGTGGCGCCCATAAATGGGACGTGCTGACGATAGAAAATGGGAGGGGGGACAAGCACTGTGCTGAGATGGCATGTCGATAAGGCCGGTTGAAGTGGCCATGCTGACGTGGCCATGAGGATGTGACGTTTTGACGTGGCACGTTGAATGTGGACCTGTGTGTGCTTCTCAGCAGCGAACACTCTTTGATTGCTATTGTGGTGGGTTTTACAGGGGGATAGGAAGGGAGGGGGTCGGTTTTACAGGGGGATAGGAAGGAAGGGGGGTGGGTTTTACAGGGGGATAGGAAGGAAGCGTTTAACAGGGGGATAGGAAAAGGGGGGTGAAACTCGAAGACGACGGTGGGAAGGGGCGGGAGTAGGCGGAGGGCCGGGGGGGGAAGGGGCAGCCATAGGAGGGCGGGATGATGATGACCGGGACAGCCTCTGTGCGGAGTGGTGGCGGTGCTGCTGCTGTGCGCGGCACTGCGCATTATTGCGCCGTTGCGGCGGCGGCAACTGTGGCGCGATCGGGGTCGGGGATTCGCACCGCTGCCACCGCCAAAAATCTAATGTCTGCTTCATTGTCCTGCTCGAGCTCATCTTGCCACGTGGCATTCTCTCCCTCTCCCTCTCCATCTCCCTCTCCTTCTCCCTCTTCTTCTTCTTCTTCTTCTTCTTCTTCTTCTTCTTCTTTTGTTCTTCCACGATGGTGGAAGGGGGTAAGAGCAGCAGCAGCAGCAGCAGCAGCAGGAGGAGGAGGAGGAGGAGGAGGAGGAGGGAGTTGGATATTGCGAAATGGTGGTCGAATCTGTGTGACGGGGGGAGTAAAGCAGCCGAACCTCCTGAGCGGGTTGCGTAGGCATGGTGGGAAATCGCATGTGGCAATGGGAGGCAGAGGAGTAATGGCAGTGAAGCCGCGCCTACCTCCTCTATCCCTGTCTGCCACGTGTCGCGTTAGTGGTAGTGGTTTAGAAGCTCGAATGCCATGTAAAAAACTACGGGGATTATCATCATCATTATCATCATCATTATCTTCGCTATCATCATCATCATCATTATGTTCGGTATCATCATCATCGTCATCGTTATCTTCGGTATCATCATCATCATCATCATCATCATCATCATCATCGTGGTCGTTAGCAGCAGGACGAGGAGGAGGGGGAAGATGGGAAGTAGGAGGAGGAGTTGGGGGAAGATGGGGAGTCGGAGGAGTGGGGGGAGGGTGGAGA